ACTACAGCTGTTGCTAAAGGGAAACGATGTGCTGATCAAATCGCCTCTCAATAGCTGTTGATCTGCATAGATTGGTGCTGCTGTCAGCTTTGGTCTTTAGAGTGGGCAGCAGTAATGTGGAGCCTTGTGGTTGTTCAGAGTTCTGAGAATCAGTGGCTGTTGAATTTTAGCCGTAAGTGGGGCATCTATATTACTGCATCTCAAAAGCAGGGCATCGGTATGACCCCATCCACAGATCAGAGAAGGTGAAGAGGATGTAAAAGTGGGAACATGTCGGGGACTGTTGTGGAACAGTCTCCAGTTGTCACATGACTGCTATGTTCATCTATTAGTTTGTTTGTGAGACAATGTATCTCTGTGTAGCTCTGGCCATTTTGGAACTCACTATGTAGACCACACTGGCATTGAACTCACAGAGATCCTCCTGACTCTGCATTCTGAGTACTGGGATTAAAGGAGCATCCCTATGCCCTTCTTGAACTCTTAAAGTCACAGCAGATATGATTACCTGGGCCCATTGAGACTGTCATGGGAGAAACTGGGACTCACAAGAGTTCCTTCTTCCCCAGGCAGTTAAGGGTTACTGGGGGCGAGTGGAGGGAGAAAGCGACATTTTTTTCTTCCCCAGTGGTGTGGATAAGATGCCCATGCTCCTGAAAAACAATGACATTCACTGGGTCACATAACAAAAGGGGCGGTAAGTAGGCTCAGTGAGTAAAAGCGCCTGTGCCAAGCCTGACAACCTGAATTTGATCCCAGGGGGGCCACACAGTAGAAGGGCGGAACAGATGCCACAAAGTTGTCCTCTGACCTTCAGGTAAGAACTGTGACATATACATATACACGCACAACAAATATCAAGAAAGTATTAAAGCAAAGGACAAGAGAAGAAATAATGAGGTGAAAGTAACGAGATGAGAAAATGAAGGGGATTAGTGGAGTGAGAAGGAGACAAGAGGGGGTAACGGGGAGGGTGATCAAATGACCTAAATACATGTGTGCATGTGTTAGCATGTCACAGTAGTGGGTAACGGGGAGGGTGATCAAATGACCTAAATACATGTGTGCATGTGTTAGTATGCCACAGTAGTGGGTAACAGGGAGGGTGAATAAATGTTCAAAATGTATGTATGTATGTGTTAGCATGTCACAGTAGTGGCTGATGGGGAGGGTGATCAAGTGATCTAAAAACATGCATACACACATTAATATGTCACAGTGAGGCTTATTATATGTAATTAATATAACCCCATAAAAGCATAAAATGTACAAAGAGGTATTAGCAAAAAGAATCATGAGAATGAAGAAGACATCTCATAGTGAATCTGAGAAAGAAAGGATTGGAGAGTGCCAGGAAAGATTTTATTCTGAGGTTTCTCATCCTCTTTTAAAATTTCTCTTACACATATACAGAGACACTTATCTTATACTCGTATGCTCACACAGATACAGAAACTTGTAAACACACACAGACATGTTTAATAATAATGTTGGGAATCATACCAAATGGTCTCCTGCATACTAAGCAGGCTCTCTACTACTGACCAATGTCTCTAGCTCTTCATTTACTTATTTAAAAGAACATTTGCATTTATTTAAGAACAAAACTTAAAACTTTAAATTTCCCAATATTATAATAATCCAAACTGTCCTTGGGGTTATGCATAAAATGTCATTTCAAGTACTTGAAGTTGCTTTCTTATTAGGAAGCGATCCTTAGATGGTCCTTCTGGTGTGAATTTATGGGTGCAGTTTCAGGGCATAAAGACATGAGGGCCCTGACAGAAGACAAGCCAGGAGGAAAGGTTATCAAGAAGAAAGGGCTTTGAAACATAGAATCAAAAAAAAAAAGGAGAAAAAGACACACATTTTCAGAGCTTGTACATTTTCCTAAACCAAATGAACATGTGAAAGCACCCTTAAAGGAATAACCAGTATTAATATTTCTGTAATCAGATTTAAATCTTAAAAGAAAATCTTTCTACTTTAAATCAACTCATATGCAAATGAAGGAATTCAGTTTAAAACCAGCTCAAAACCACGCAGTGATGACTGAAGTCACAAAACAATCCCTCACCAGTTCAGAATCATGAATAATAAAGGGGTCATTTGTTTAAGGGAAAAAATTACAGATCACTGTCCTAGACAACAGTCCTCTACAGAACAGGAACAGAGTCTAGCAGCCAGAAGCGGGAGCTGGAAGCAAGAGAGCAGGCACAGGCTTTACAACGGCTTTTCAAGTATCAGAGACCACACGCAAGTTGGCTGCTATCTTAGAGGTTATTGGCTGAAGGAGTAGAATGTGCTCCCTCAGCAATGCAGTTAGCAAAGTAGGAATCTGGCCTTTGTGTAGGGTACAGCTCCACATGAGCAGTTGGACTGAAAGCTGCCCTTTGTCTCTAAGGAACCTATAAAGATGTTATGGCTAGAAATAACAACAACAACAAAACTTTACTGGAAGTGGTAGCATATACCTGTAATCCCAGCACTCAGGGAATGGAGGCAGGAGAGTCAGGAGTTCAAGATCATCCTTGGCTATATAGTGAGCCCATGCTAAACTTTGGAAAATGAGACACTGTCTCAACAAACTAAACCCCCTCCCCCCAAAACACCCCCAAAAAGACTATATAAGTTTTGAATTATCTAATAATCTGTAATACAGAAATAAGATTGAAGTTTCTTTGGTTTTTGTTTTTAATTTTAAATGCATGATTTTGTATGTGAGAGAGAGAGAGGGAGAGAGAGAGAAAAAGAGAGTTCACACATGAGTTGGGAGGGGAAAGTGGTAGGAAGGATAGAGGAAGTAGTGGAAGACAGAGAATAGGGACTGTATTTATAAGTTTGATCAAACCATGTTATAATCTTGTATGAAATTATCAAGTGATTAAAAAAGGAAGAGATAAAGAAATGGTTTAATAGTTAAGAGCACTTGCTCTTTCAGAGGACCTGGGTTCATTTTCCAGTATCCTCTTGGTGGCTCATACCACCTGAAATTCCAGTTCCAGGGAGCCATTCCTGGGCTTCAGGCATGGACACAGTGCACATACACACATAGAGGCAAAATACTCATACAAGTAAAATAAAAATGTCTAGTAAAAAACCCTGAAGCCTTTCTTAGACTGTTTTAGCCCTGTTACAGCCTAGAGTATAAATCCTCAAGTGATAACTGTCTTCTAGAACAACTCAATATTGACCCTAATATTGGAAATATTAGTGTACTAGTAAAATATATTTCATTTAAAAATACACCAAATAACTGGGTGCATCCTTGTGGATTCCTGGGAATTTCACTAGCACCAGGTTTTTCCCTAACTTCACAATGGCTCCCTCTATCAAGATATCTCTTTCATGTCTCTCCCTCTCAGTCCCTTCCCCAAATAGACCATCCTATTCCTCATGTTCTCATCCCCATCCTGTTCTCTTTACTGCCCTTCCCTGCCCCCAGTTTACTCGGGAAATTTCATCTAATTCCCTTTCCCAGGGCAAGTCCTGCACCCCTTTTAGGGCCCTCCTTGTTACCTAGCTTCTCTGAAGCTGTGGCCTGTAGGCTGGTTAGCTTTTCCTTTACATCTAGTATTCACTTATGAGTGACTACATACCATGTTTGTCTTTCTGAGTCTGGGTTACTTCACTCGGGATGACTTAGTTGTTGTTCTATCTATTTGCCTGGAATTTTCATTGTTTCATTTTGTTGTTTTTGCTTTTTTTTAAGCAGTTAATACTCCATTGTGTATATATACCACATTTTCTTTATCCATTATTTAGTTGAGGGGCATCTAGGTTGATTCCAGGTTCTGACTATTATGAATAATGCTGCTATGAACATTATTGTGCAAGTGTCCTTTGGGTATCCTTTGGGTATATGCCCAAAAATGATAATGCTGGATCTTGAGGTAGGCTGTTTTCCAACTTTCTGAGAAACCGCCATACTGATTTTCAAAGTGACTTTACAAGTTTGTACTCCCAACAGCAGTGGAAGGGTGTTCCCCTTACTCCACATCCTCTCCAGTACAAGATGTCCTCAGTACTTTTGATCTTAGTCATTCTGATAGGTGTAAGATGCTAAGACTTCTAGCAATAGCAGAGAGGGTGCCCAAACTAACTGTTCCCTGTAATCAGATTGGTGAATACCCCAACTGCCATCATAGAACCTTCATTCCGTAACTGATGGAACCAGACGCAGAGTTCCACAACCAAGCACCAGGCCAAGCTCCAGGAACCCAGGCGAAGAGAGGTGGGAGGGAATATATGAGCAAGGGAGGTCAAGATCATGAAGGGTAAAACTACAGAGAGAGCTGAACCAAGCTCGTGGGAACTCATGAACTTCACACCAACAGCTTTGAAACCTCCATGGGACCAAGATAGGCCCTCTGCATGTTGGAGACAGTTGTGCAGCTTGGTCTATGTGAGAGGTCCCTGGCAGTAGAACCAGGATCTATCCCTAGTGTATGAGCTGGCTTCTCGGAGCCCATTCTCTTTGGTGGGATGCCATCAGTCTTAATGCAGGGGAGAGGGGCTTGGTCCTGCCTCAACTTAAAGGGCCAAGCTTTGTTGACTCCCCATGGGAGCCCTTACCTTTTGGGAGGAGTGAATGGAAGATAGGTTGGGGGAGGGAAGGAGGAGGAATGGGAGGAAGAACTGTGACTGGAATGTAAAATAAAATGAAGATAAAGAATACATACATAATTAAATATTTACTTTAAAAATGCACCAAATAAGAATTTGACCAGTGTGTTTTGGGTGCACTCATCTGGTTGATTCAGTCATATGCCTTTTAGAGATGAGTTGGCCTCTGAGTGATGTCAACAGTTGCTGCAAACCCATATCCATGCAGTTATGTACTTGTGGCTGCCAGTCTTGCGTGTACTTGTGGCTGCCAGTCTTGTGCAAGTCTTTCTCAATGCTGTGTTGCATAATATATAGTCACAGGGAGACAAATGCAGCTGGCTGTGGGTGGAGCTTTAGTCTGAACATTTTTCCGTTGATAGACTGCAGAAAAATCTTTTGCCTTTCAAAGATCACTATATTTTAACTATGATTCGGTTATATTTTCCTAAATGGGCACTGAGTTTTACCCTCTTTGCCCAAGCTGTGAATGCACCGAACACTTTTATTGCTGCTGTATATGAGCATGCTGTTATATTGCCAAACAAAACAAAAACACCTGTTTCGATGGAAAAGGCTTTGTTCCTGATGAACAAGAACATAGACATTTTGGAGAAAGCAATAAAGCTGACAGCCAAGCAGGTATTACAGTTTTGTTCATGTCTGGGATGGTATACAGATTTGCAACTAGACAAGAATGTGGGTATTTAGAACTATGAGAAACTTTTTCTTTCCATACTTACTTCTAACAGGGCACACATATCTTTGTGACCGCGGAAGATGGAATCTATGGTTGGATATTCACCAGGGAGACCATTTACCCCTATCTGGAGGATATACCAGACCCTGAAGTGAACTGGGCTCCCTGTAGAGACCCTAAGAGGTAAGATCTTGTCAAAGAGTAATTACTCTTGCAACAAAGAGGTTTTGATGAGGTAGAACAGCAAAGTCACCAAGCTTGGTTGTCGTCTTTCTGATGATCAGTCAGTGGCATGGGACTTCAAGGGTTTATATTGTATTTACTACTCAACGTGTCTCCCATCTGGAGAATGACTTTAGATAAGAAAGCTTGATTTGTAACTCACAGCAGTTGCTTTTAAAACATAGCCTGTGAACACACTGTTTCCAACAAGTGTGTTCTACTGAGTTTCAGCCACGTAAGACTGTTTTCTTTGGATCCTGTGACTGCAACTGCAAGTCAGTCAGTTGATGCAGAAACACCTGCCTGTGTTTCTAAAGCTGTGTTGTTACCACAATTTCATGGTCAATAGGGTTCACGGAAGTTCCATGGGACTTCAGACAGGAGGCTCCCTTTCTGAGTCCCCATCTTACTACCTCCCAGCTGAGTGGTACAGGGTACATCGTATCTTTATTTCCCTTATGGAGTAAAGAAGACTGTCAAATGAAACAGCGTGTGTGACATCTTACCCTGCAGCGCCCTCTTCACTGTCCCCTGTCACAAGGATCTCTTTTCGACAGGACAGATTGTAAACTACTCTGAACTCTTGCCCTTAGAGAGGTTTTTAGCACTTATCAATAACTGTGGTTTAGGCACAGCTTTCTTGAAAGAAATATGTATATATGTGTGTGTGGTCATATAAACTTTTAAAAGAAAGATGAAATAGATTATTTTAGGTGGAATTATGTACCTTTTAGCATTGTTCATAGGTAATTCATTTAAGTGAAGAAATTTGGAAAGGGCTTTCTGTTGCTAATTTTATATCTTCATGCACCTGCTGAGACTCATATCCATTGCCTTCAAGGAGGAGCTTTTAAAAAAAAATAAATTCTTGTCACATGACATCAGCTAAACAGTAAGCCCAATGCTCCCATACTTGAGCTCCACTATTTAAGTCTCAACTTGAGACTTCCACCTTTGGGAAAGTGTTTTCTAAATGTTATATAGCTTGTTTGTGCAGAAAGCATGGAATAGTGACTTAATGTCATCTTGTCAAAAGCTTTTCCTAGGACAGAAAGCAATCCTTACTTGCTGTAATTCTAGAGCTTTATATTAAGCTATGCTTCATGTGACAATTCCATTAGAGCTGACTCTCCTAGAAGAAGAGGCTCAAAAGTCTGATCATTATACTTACTTGAATTCTGTTAGCTTGGGAAGGCAAAAGGTTCATGAAATTTTGACACTGAGTTTTTCCAGCGACAAAGATTCAACTTTGTGAAACAGAAGGGGGAATCAAGCTGGGTCTAGGAGCTCATGCGTATAATCCCAGCACTCAGGAAACTGACGTGGGAGAATCTGCTTCGTGAACTCCGAGGCTGCCTGGGTTACACAGTAAAACTCAACATAAAGCAAACCAAAACAACAACAGTCGCAAAACGGAACAATTGGAGAGATGGATCATCGGATAAAGCACTTGTCGATTAAGTATGAGAACTGGAGTTCAGATTTCCGGGACCTGTGTGAATCCCGGCAGGTACGAGGGCCGCCTGTCCACCTGCAGTCCAGTGCTTGGGAGGCAGTGACAGGAATGATAAATGAAGTGAGAATGATCAGGGAAGACATACAACACCGACTCTGGGCATCCACCTGGGCACCCACATATATGCACACGTACCTGCCCACATGTGTGCACTCATCCACATAGGAAAGCACATGTACATATACACAGGCATGAACACAATCTCTGTCCTACCCACCTCCTCACAATTCTAGAAACCCATGAGGTGTTAGCTCTTCACTGTGCCTTTGAATTCCAAGAGCTGTATCTGGTGTGCTGTGCATATTAAATCTTTCACCATTGACAGGATGTGTCATGATTTGCTTCTTAACTCTGAGAAGAAAGGGAGCGTTAGGGCTGCATAGTTAGTAAAGTTATTAGGTTAAGTGGAATTAAAGAAAATCGTTTGCAGGCTGGAGAGAGGGCTCACTCCATAGAGTACTTGTCTTGAAAGTGTGAAAGCCCAAGTTTGATCCCCAAAACCCATTTAAAAAACTGGGGACAGTAACACACACTTAAAATTTTGGCAGTGGCAAGTTGGGGAGCAGACTCATTCAAATCCCTGGCCAGATTGCTGGCCAGTCAGACTGATTTTCTTACTTCGTCAAGTCCTGGGCCAATGAGAGACACTGTGTGAGAAGGGGCAGGGAGGAGGAAAGTGACTGAGGAATGACACCCAGGGTGGTCTTCTGATCCCCCAATCCTCATATGTGCACCCACACCCACATACATAAACAATTGTACATACGCACCACACGGCCATTTGCATTAAGCCGTGGTACCTTAACAGATTTGTCACTATACTGCATTATACTGAAAATTATAATGACAAAGAAATACCTTTATTCCTGAAAGGTCATCTGTGAATCTGCTTATGACTTTGGCCTTGTTCTTTCTTGTTCAGTACATCTTTATCCACAAAACAGACCCCTCACAAGAGAGACATTCAAATATTTGAAGCCCGCGTCACCTCACCACATTCCCTTTTGACTACTAGAAGAAATATAAGGACAATTTCTTTTGTGTGCACGCGTACATACATGTGTGTAAGTCATCTCTCTGTGTGTGCACATGTGAGTGTAATTTTGGAGGTCCGAGGACAATGTTGGGTGTAGGTGGTGTGTAGTTACTGTCTACTACTATTTGAGATAGGGTCTTTCATGGACCTGGAACCCTACCACATAGGGCAGACTTTCTGGCTCCCAAACTTCCAGGGGTCTCTCTGTCTTTGTCTCCCTCTTTGAGGTCGTATCAGAGGGCTTGGGGGTACATAATTTGTTATTATTTAATATTAAGTTGCTATTTACAATATACCTTTCTGATTTATGAAACCAAGTCCCAATAGAAACTGATTCTTAGAAAAAGGAAATATCCTTATTTGTAAAGCTGAAAAGGATACGTATCACAGAAAAGGCTGGTCTCATTCCAGGGGCAGTTAGTCCATTTCTCAGATAGTATCCACCCCTCTAGGTCTTACTAACAGCTTTTGCTCAGGATAACTGCCCTTAGAGAAGCCACACGGCCTCAGCAGCACAACACAAAATTCTTATTTTTATGAACAAAGTCCACAGAAACCTGCATTTCTGTTACTTGGACACTCAGCATGGTCTCCTCACTCCTCCATTCCAGCCAGGTCACACACCTGTTCGGAACCACTCATTGCTCTATGCAGGACACAATCCCATGAAGGCGGAGAGTGGAGGAGCAAAAGAGCCTCTGGAACACTGGGCTGTGGGATTCCTGATGTAGCTGCACTTGTGCACGCAACAGACTAAATAAGCGCCCTGCCCCTGAGCTGGAGGTAAGTCAGGATTCAGGAGAGGCCATACTAAGGAAGGACACATTCAGGTGCCTAACAAGAACAATGCTTTGTGACAAGCACTGGGGAGAAAGAGCTGGGAAACTTCAGGGATCTCCAGGAACCCATTGATGGCTGCCATCAGTGTAACACTTACCCATTTGGAATTGACAACCGGGGTGAAAAAAAAAAAGATTACAAATACCTTAGTAATTAGTAAGACTTAGCAACTCAACGTGGAAATTAATTTTAAGTCAGCTTCATTTAATTGATATAAATGGCACAGTAAACACGGCGACATTCATTGTATTAACACAGGCTAGACCCCACACGGGGAGTGCCTTTCACATTTAAACGACACAATAGAAACAGTTTTAAAATGAGGAGACTCAAGCGTTCATCCTGACTGAGGGCTGGATAGATGATGGCTCAGCAGTCAGGAGCACACACTGTTCTTACAGGGCACCTTAGTTCAATTCCTAGCACCTATCTTGATTAACTCACACCTGCTTGTCTCTCCAGCTCCAGAGGATCTGAAACCCTCTTCTGGTCCATCAGTACCCACACTCACACACACGTACTTACACATACTATTAAAATAGCATGAAAAAGGTGTCCACTTCGCAGTTTCAAAGATATAAATGATCACATCTTGGCTGTCATTTATTTAATTTGTTCACTGATGGTTAAACATAAAATGTTTGGATTAATGTCACAGTGTGGAAACTCTCAGGTAGCTGGTGTAATTGGCGCGATGCTTGTAAATGCTCATGTAACCATATGCACATCAGTACACATGGAAGAAAAAGACTTTTATGGGTATTGACCTTATCTATTGGCAAATTGGTTCTTCACTAACTTCTTCCTTCTCTGCTTATCTTTGACAGTACAATCTTTTTGCCCCAGAGATTCAGTTTGATTTCCCCAAAGATTCAGAGTTGGTGACTTTTGACACTCCGTTTGGGAGATTTGGCATCTTCACTTGCTTTGACATTTCCTCTTACGACTCAGCTGTGGCGGTTGTGAAGGACTTTCAAGTTGATAGCGTTGTCTACCCTATGGCATGGTACAACACTTTGCCCCTCCTTTAAGCTGTCCCATTCCATTCAGCATGGGTCAGAGCCATGGGAGTCAACCTGCTGGCAGCAAACACCCACAACACCAGAATGCACATGACAGCTAACTGACCAATCATCTGCCAAGCGGCAATGACAGTCTTGGGGAAGAACTCCTCATGGATTTCCACCCAAATTTTTCCTTAATGGCTAACTTCACTACCATAAAATTAATAATACCACGAGTTTCTGCTCAAGGTTTGATTGAATTTATTTATGTACATGTTTATTTTTCTGAGGACAGGAAATCAATTGCTTTGTTTTTGAGACTGGCTCTTACTAGATAATCCAGGCAGGCCTAGAATTTATGATTCTTCTGCTTCAGCCTCCTGTGTGCTGGATTACATACATTCGCTGCCGGGCTTGGTTAGCAGCAGGAAAGCTTCCTTCTGCTTACGGAGCTTTATTATGGTAAGAAAAGGAAGCAAATATTATCTTGATGCTTCAAGAGGGAAAACTGAAGTCATGAAGAGGCCAGGACATGTAAAAACAAAAAAGGTGTGGTAGCTGGAGAGGTGGCTCAACCATTAAAGGCTAGGCTCACAACCAAAGTTACTAAAAGAAAAAAAAAAAGGTCAATGCTAGACCTAAGGGATATTCCGGATAATACATATTAGTTGTATTGAAATAAATCTTCTGATGACAGAATGAACAAGCTTAATCGGTTTTAGAGTTTACTCGGTAGTATCCTCATTACGGGTAACACTTGCCTTCCTCTTGACTGGTTTTACACAATGGCAAAGAATAAATTTCAAACTCAAATTGATTAATCATGTCATTGGAGAGTTGAAATTATTCTTCACGTTTCAGGGAATTTTTGATTTTCTTGTTAAATTGTTTTAAAAGAGAAAAGTTTTTTGTTTTTTTTTTTAAAAAAAGATTTTAAAAAACAAAACTTTAAATGATCATTTCAGTACCTTAGGGAGAAAGCAGAGTCAACCTGGATTTCCAATAACATCTTTTAAAAAGTCATTGTGGGTTTGAAGAGATGGCTCAGCGGTTAAGAGCACTGGCTGCTCTTCCTGAGGACCTGGGTTCAATTCCCAACAGTCACATGGCAGCTCACCACTGTCTGTAACTCCAGTTCCAGGGAACCTGATACCCACGGCAAAACATCGAAGCACACAAAATAAAATTAAATAAAAAATTTAAGAAGTCACTGTCCTTTCATAACATTATGTTTAAGTTCCCATGGGAATGTCTCCTTTGTCACCAAAAAAATTTTGGAAGCATTTTTTGCGTTTCTTTATGTTGACCCCAGGGAGTGCGATCTATAGCCCGGAAGCCGGCTGTCTGTACCACTATGACATGGAGACAGAGAGCGGCCTGCTGTTGTTACCAGAATTGAAGTCTCGGCCCCGCCAGCCAGCTCAGCTCCCCTGCAGAGGCTGACTGGGATGCTTACACCAGAAGTATCCAGCCATTCTCATCAGAGCAGGCCGACTTCCCAGGGATGATTTATTTTGATGAATTTAGCTTCACGCAGCTTTTGGGAAGTACTGGAAATTACACAGTTTGCCAGAAGGACCTGTGTTGTCTCCTGACATACAAGACGTCAGAGAACCGAATGGATGAGGCCTATGTCCTGGGTGTCTTTGATGGACCGCACACAGTAGAAGGGCAATATTATTTACAGGTTAGAATGCTTGAATATGTTAAGGTGACCTTATTACTGGGTTTCATTCTAAGTCATTGCTTTTTTTTTTTTAAAAAAAGAAACAAAACTGTGATTAAGACCATGAATAAAAGTAACTTAAAGGGGAAAGGAATTATTTGGCTTACTGTTGAAATCACAGTCCATCACTGAGGGAAGTCAGGACAGGAACTCAAGGCAAAAGCTAGAACAGAGACCATGGAGGAATGTTGCTTACTGGCTTGGTCCCTGTGACTTGCTCAACTTGATTTCTCCTACAACCCAAGACCACCTGCCCAGAGGCAGCACCACCCATAGTGGGCTCGCCCATCTAAATAACCATTAGTCAAGAAAACATCTGTGCAGATCGCCTACAATATGATGGAGGCATTTCCGCAATGGAGGTTCCTCTTTCCAGATGACCCTCCCTGTGTCAAGTTTACAGATACAATAAAATACAAACAATCAGCACAGGTATCATAGATTTTTCTTCAAAATTCAATTAAATTGAGTTATTTCATATAATGTTGCATTTATCAGATTTATTTGCAGCTACAGAACATTTAATTTGTTCCATTGTCACCAGAACCAATTCTTTTTCTTGGTTACAAGGTGAAAAACATAAAGCAGATTGAGGAGTTCTCTTCAGGCAAGTTCAGGTTGAGAAGGCTGCAATGTCTGTGTATCCTCTTGTTACTTTAGAGGAATGTTTCGCCAACTTTCTTCTACTGGAGTCTAAGTTAATTTTGTGACCCAGTGTAGCATGACTGAGTTAAAAAAAATTTAACCAATTAAAAAGTAATCCAAATTAGAATTGTTCAGAAAACTGACCTTTAAAATTCAATAAAATTTGCCTTTAATAAAAGTGTAATAATTGTAGGGTGGTGGTGGTACACACTTTTGTTTCCAACCCTCAAGAGGCAGAGGCAGCTAAATCTCTGAATTCCAAGTCAGCCTGGTCTACAGAGTGAGTTCTATGACAGCCATGACTACACAGAGAAACTCTGTCTTGAAAAGCAAATACATAAAAAGCAAGCAAACAAACAAAAGAGTGTAATAAACTTGTCCCACTAAATTTGGCGTAATACTTAACAAGTCATGACAGTTTAAGTGGAAACTGTTCTTTGAAGCTGAATTTTGACTGCTTTTTTTCTTTCCCCCTTTTGCACAGATATGCACATTGCTGAAGTGTTAAACCACCAACTTGAGAACTTGTGAGGAACCCGTGGGGTCAGCTTTTACCAAGTTTGAAGAATTCTCTCTCAGTGGCACCTTTGGGACAAACTACGTTTTTCCTCAAATGGTCCTAAGTGGGAGTCAGCTTGCCCCGGAAAGATATTATGAAGTAGGAGGCCTTCGGGAGGACAAATTTCTTTGAGTCGATAAAGTAGACAAACATAATCAAGATCTTTGAAATAAAGGGCTGGGCAATGGTGGTGTATACCTTTAACCCCAGCACTCAGGAGCCAGAGGCAGGTGGATCTCTGTGAGTTCAAGGTCAAGCTGATCTTCAGAGTGAGTTCTAGGACAGCCAAGGCTACACAGATAAAACCCTGTTTCAAAAAAAAAAATAAAAAACACAAAAAAAAAAAAAGAGAAGAAAGGAAGGAAGAGAGGGAGGGAGGGAGAAAGGGAAGGAAAAAGGGAGGGATGGAGAAAGGGAGAGCAGTACGGAAATATTGCCTCCTGCAGTCTATGAGATGCTTTAAAGGTCGCATTGTTGTGACACAGAACAAGCTGTAGTTGCAGATTGTATTTTTCCTGTGATCGGCAAGTTAGGGTTCCTTGTTCTATAAAAATATGAAATCATGAGGGAATTAAAATTAAAATACAGGCTACTAATAACCATTTTTATAATGTAGAAGATTCAAATTAAGTGCAGTTCATTACATAGTGCAGCTAGCTGGGCCTGGTGGAGTAGCCTGGAGTCTTAACTACTGAAGAGACTGAGGGAAGATGGTCAGAAGTTGAAAGCCTGAACAGACTACAAAGTGAATCCAAGGCTGGTCTGAACTGACAATTCTGTGAGACCTAGTCTCAAAATAAAAATATAAAAGTTTAATTCTTGTACTCTGGAGGCAGAGGCAGGTAAATTTCTGAGTTTGAGGCCAGCCTGGTCTGCAAAGCTAGTTCCAGCACAGTCATGACTATATAGAGAGATCCTTTCTCAAAAAAACCCAATACACACACACACACACACGCTCATATATACATACATACACATAGAGATATATGTATATACACATATACACACATATACACATTTATACATACACACAGAGATATATGCATACACATATACACGCATGCACATATACACACATGCATACATACAAACACAGACACACACACACATATATATATATGTATACACACATATATACATGCATGCACTGGCTGAAGGGATGATTCAGCAGTTAAGAGCATCTTCTATTCTTTCAGAGGACCAGGATTGACCCCCAGCATGCACAGGACCAGTTAGATACAACCAGTCAGTAATCCCTGTTCTAGGGACTCTGGTGCCCTCTTCTGACTTTCTCAGACACTGCATGTACATGGTGCAAGTGCAGGCCAAACTATCATACACATAAAGTAAAAATTAAGCTGGAGACATGACTTAGTGGTTTAGAGCACTTGCTGCTCTTTCAGAGAACCCGGGTTTGATTCTTAATACCCATATGGTGGCCCACGCGGATTGGTAACTCCATTTCTAAGGGATTTGTGTTGAACACCCTCTTCCGACCTCCACAGGCACCAAATGCGCTCACAGTAAACAGACACAAATGCTGGTCAAACATTCATATGCATAAAACCAATAAGTAAATAAAAAAGTAATGATATGTTTTAAAGAGTTATGAATACAGATCACAGGTAGAGGCTTTGTCTAGCATTCACAATACCCTGAGTTCAGTGCTCAGGACGAGTGGGAAGCACTGCAAAAAGAGCTTACTTGGTGGGAACGTTGAGAAGTTGCTTTAGTGCTAGCAATAGTTGTGCAGTGGTTCATGAGTTTTAAGAGAGACTGCTAGCCACATTTTCACCCCTTCCCTCCATAATTAGAACAAAGTTAGAATGCTGGGTCTTCTACCATCAAATCTTGCGTGCTTTATACCAGCCAATATTGCTTTTGGAGGAATGTTTCTAGAAGGAGATGTTGCTGGAAGCTGAGTTTTGCATTGGAGTTAATCTTTTGCTGTCTTTCATCAGGTTACAAGAGATGGACGTCTCAGGAGCCGAGGTGGAGCCCCCTTGCCTGTCCTGATGATGGCCCTATATGGAAGAGTGTTTGAGAAGGACCCTCCACGCTTAGGGCAGGTACCTGGGAAGATACGATGAACCTCTTCATTGAGTACTGTCAGGATTACCCGGGCAAAGAGAGGGAACATAAATAAAAGAGTGTTTATGTAGTTTTTGACTAGAAGATACAATGGAAGCTGTTGAAAGGGCAAATCAAATGAAGAAATAAAACAATAAAACAAAAAGCAATTGGTATGGTATGGCCTGCATATGGTTTGTTTGCTTCAAAATTTATGCTCAAATTTAATTTCCATCGTGAAGTATTAAGAGAGTGGACGACTTAATTCAGCCACGGTTTTCAGAAGTGAGCTTTAGGGAAATGATGAGGATTGCCTAAATAGCCAGGATGTGTAGTGATAAATGTTTGAATACTGTGGCTTTATAGATGTGTGTGGGGGTGTATGTAGCACACAGAAGCACTGTTTCCTACCATGCGATGTCTTACACCACTTTGGAACTCTGTTAGGAAGAAGAGTATTACCATATGTGGGGCCCTTATCTTGGAACTAGAACCATGAGCCAATGTCAATGTATTTTCTTTATAAGGTACCCAATATACAATATTGTGCTGTTAGTAAATGAAAACCGGCTACCATAAGGCATGCACATCCTTGGGATAGTGTAAATGTGTTAGCTGGAGCTGCATCTGTGTGTGTCCAGATATATGTAACTATGTGATGCAGAAGGTGTCCTTTAGTGAGAGCAGGGCTTCTTTTCAGGAACTGCTCTGCTGTATCCAAACAATGATTTCACCAGATGAAGATTCATTTTTCATGTACTAACTCCATTAGACACAGATGCTCAGTTGACCAGTTAAACATTTCTGAGCATGTGATGGGGGCATTTCTGACAGATTAAAATTGGTGTGTTGACCTTAGTTGAGAAAAGGCCCAGACAGACAGCCGTGGAGAGCAGGAGGGACAGACACTCATTGGCCAAAGGCTATAAGCTCTATGAAGCAGACTCAGGCTTCTGAGAGCCCCACCTTTGGTGTCTGGGAATAGATATCATCAGCTGAGAATAAACCTGGAGTTTGATGTCTGAGCCGGAGGCTGGCATATGGATTAAATTCTGGAATTGTCTGTCAGTTACTTCCTAGAGCCCATTTAATTTTGTCTATGTATTTTCCCACTATTGGACAGTATATATTCTTGCCTAAGTTCTAGCTATTTTTTCTTGTTTCCTTTTGTCTCATATCCTTATATTTAATAGTATCTTGGTTTTATTTTATGGGTTTCTTACAAGAGACTCTCATAGTTAGGCATGGTGGTGGTCTTAGTTAGGATTTCTATGTCTCTGAAGAGATACCATGACCACACAACTCTTATAATAAACATTGAATTGGAAACATTGAATTGGGGCTGGCTTGCAGTTCAGAGACTTAGTTCCTTGTCATCATAGTGGGAAGCATGGTGGCATACAGACATATATGGTGCTAGACATGTGAAAACTAAAAATCAACAAAGAATCCTTAGAGCGAAAATACACTGCGTACCATGGGGATTTAACAGAGAGTTACAGAATATTACAGATTATATATGGACTATTTGTTATAGGCTATTTCATTCAACAGATAAAAATCCACAGAGCCTCCCCTAAAAAAAGAAAGAACATATTTAAGGGACAATTAAAATCTCAACAGATATGACGGAATTAAAACTATCTCTTGTATCTTGCCAGATCACAGGACAATAAAAATTACTAGTAAAACTACAGAGATAAAAATTATTAGTAAAACTAAAGAAACTATACCAATACAGAGAGAACAATAGACCTTTAAAAGATTTTTAAAAGTTTTAATGTGCTTGAATGCTTTTCCTGCATGTGTATCTGTGTGCCCCGTCTATGCCTGGTGCCTTTGAAGGCCAGAAGAAGGCATCAGACATTTGGAACTAGAATTAAGGATGGTTGTAAGCCACTGTGTGGATGCTGGGAACTGAACCTGAATCCTCTGCAAGAGCAGTCAGTGTTCTTATCTGCTGAGCCATCTCTCTAGCATGAACAATAAACTCTTGAGTGACTAGTGAGTTACTGAACATATCAGGGAGGAAGTTTAAAAGTTCTGAGACTCAAGTAAAATTAAACAAAAGCCCAACTTAAAAGATCTGTTGAAGTGCATTTGAGCAGTACCAAGAATAGGGGTTATATCTATAAATGTTCACATTAAAACAGTCACATCAGGTGTTGGTGGCACACACCATAAGCCCCAACACTCCAGTAGCAGATGCAGGTGATCTCTGTGAGTCTGAGGCCAGCCTGGTCTATAGAGCAACTTCCAGGACAGCTAAGGCTACATAAAGAAACTCTGTCTCAAAAAACAATAAAATAAGACAAAACAAAAGTCACAAAATCTCATATAAATATCAATGGACTCCAAGGGCTAGTAATACAAGGACAATCTAAACCTCAAGGCAGAAGAATGACAAGAAATAATAAAGATAAGTACAAAAAGTAATAGAATAAATACTTAAGGAACACTATTGTCTTAATCAGAGTTTCTATTGCCGTGAAGCGATAACATGACCATGGCAACTCTTATAAAGGAAAATAGTTAACTGGGGCTGGCTTATAGTTCAGAAGTTTAGTCATTATCATCATGTTTAGAAGCATGGTGGTGTGCAGGCAGACATGATGCCGGAGAAGGAGCTAAGAGTTCTGCAACTGCAGGTATCAGGAAGAGACTATCACAGTGAGTGTGGCTTGAGCATCTGAGACCTCAAAGCCCACCCTCACAATGATGTTCTTCCTCCAACAAAGCCACACTTATTCCATCAAGGCCACACCTCCTCCAATAAGGCCACACCTCCTAATACTGACACTCCTTACGGGCCAAACATTCAAACATATGACTCTATAGGGACCATTTCTATCCAAATCATCACAAACACTTAATACTGATCAAAGACTATGTTCTTTGTGAGAACAAACTTAATCAATCCCTGTCAAAACTAACCAAAGGAAACAGAAGATCATAATTAATACAATTAGAGATGAAAAGAGGCGATATTACTACAGAATCCATCGAAATATAGAAAATCATTAGGAAGTACTTAAAAATACGTCAAAGTGATGGAAAATATAGATGAAGTATACAATTTCCTAGAAATATGTGAAAGCATTACTAAAGTAAATAAAGAGATATAAGCAATTTTAAGCAGTTGCAGAATAATCAATGAGTTTAACGCAGTATTAAAAACTGCCCAACAAAGAAAAGCCCAGGTCTAAATGGACTCACTGCCAATGCTTCTCAAGGCGTAGAAATAGAAAGACTCATCTATGGAGCCTGACCTTGATACTTGACACTCAAATCAAATAAGGACACAATAGGAAAGAAAACTGTGAACCAATTTCCCCGATAAATGCAGATATTAATGTTCTCAATAAAATTCTTAGAAGTTGAATTTAAGAAAACAGCAAGAAACTCATATTATATTGGTTTCATTCAGGGCAACAATGTTTGTTAAATATGTATGAATGGTCACAAAGTGTAATTCAGCACATAAATATACTTAGGAACAGAAATCACACAATCATCTGTCAATCAGTGAGGAAAGGCCCTTGGCAAAGTTCAACATAAATTCGTGGTAAAAATCTTAAAGAAAATAGGGATAGAAAGAACATATCTGAACATAATGAAGACTGTATATGAGAAAATCATAGCCAGCCTTATAGTAAATGGGTCTAAAGCAGAATTTCTTCTAAAATCTAGAATGATATGAGGGTCTCTTCTCTAATTATTATTCACTATAGTACTCAAGTAGTCTCTAGATCAGTAATACCAGAGAAAGAAATAAAAGGGATACAAGTAGCTAAGGAAGAAATTAAATTATACCTTTTAGCAGATGGAATGCTCTTCTACATAAGTGAACATAAGGACTCCACCAGAAAACTCATAGATCTGATAAATGCTGACATCAAAGTAGTAGGGAACAAAATCAATATACAAAAATAAGTGACTTAGGGCTGGAGAGACAGCTCAGTGGACAAAGTGTTTGCTGTGCAATCACAAGCACCCAAGTTCAGCTCCCCACTGTGAATGTAAAAACCATGCATGGCAATGTATGCCTGTAGCCTTAGGGCTTTGTGGGTGAGGCAGAGGCAGACAGATTGACAGATCCCAGAGGTTCACTGGTCAGCTAGTCCAGCTACACTGGTATATAAATAAACAAGAATATTCTTAATGAGACACAAATAATAGTACAAGAAATTATCCAAGTAATGGACAAACGGGACCATATGACTTCTACATAACAAAAGAAATCATCACTAGGGTGAATAAAACAATTTACAAAAACAGAAAGATCTTTGCATTTGACAGGGAATAAATGTCAAGGGTAAATAAAAAACTACAAAAATTAAACACCAACTCCACCCTCCACCAAATTATCTAATCAATAAATGGGCTAATGAACTGAAGAGACAGTTATCAGATGAAGAAAACACAGATAGCCAATACACACTTGAAATTGTATTGAGCATCAATTGTATTGAAAACCATCAGTTTTAGAATCTTTAAAACTGGTTTGAAGTGTAGGAATGGCAGTACATGCTTTTTATCTCACTGGGGAGGTCAAGGTAGCAGGATTTCTGGGGATTGCTGAATAGTCAGTCTATATAAGTAAAGATCCAACTACATTACCTGTAACATGAATAATAAAAACCCAGAGATAGATATTGGGATCAAACTGAAAATCAGAAAAGCAAGCCACCTCACTCTTACCTTTATGAAATTTTCAGACTGAAGAGAGTGAGTTTCTATCTCATTCCACCTTATATTCCTCTCTAGGGCTGGGATTATAGGCATGCACCACCACTGACCAGCTTCTATGGCTAACTAGTGTGGCTGAAGAGATTAAAGGTGTTTACTACTACTGCCTGGCTTGTATGGCTGACTAGTGTGGCTTTGCACTCTGATCTTCAGACAAGCTTTATTTCTTAGATCATAAACAAAACATTACTATAGTTCCCATTTTCGTTTAATATAAAAAAGAAAGATATATAAATATAAGAAAAACTATATATAATAAGTACAATAACTATATTTAATATATACAGGCAATAAGAACATCAACAATGTCTAGTTCATTTGCATGTGACAAATTCAGAGAAAATATTCCATTATCTATCCTATCTTGGTGAGTCCAAAGTCTTGTACCTAA